GGTTAACTTGCCAGTGTGCTGTGAATAGAGACCGCTGCAGCTGAGGTGTGCCTGGGACCTCCTTTGAGAGCCACCATGTCCACTTGGTGAAAGGAAATCGGTAAAGAAGGCGATGCTGCTCCCCTCGAGTACTCCCCCTTCCGTGGAGGGAGATAATGATACTCTGGGAACAGGGGTGACTATTAACTGCCTGAATCCTTACACACCCTGAGTGCTCTGGTGAGGGTAGTGGAACAGGTTTTCAAGGAGCCAGAAAAGTGTTAGCAGCATTTCATACACAGATGGTTGTCCGGTTTTTATTTTCTGTACTGTTGTTGGGGGTTTTTTTTCTGTAAATATTTTATAATCATGTTTTTTTTAGTTGCAGTGAGGTTGATCAATCATCTTCCTTCCAGGGTAGTCAGGGAGGTAATTTGTTGCGTATACTGTACACTGGAATTTTGCACCCTATCCCCTTTATGATCATCTTGATGGATTTTTGTTGGCTGGGGAAACTTCATTTTGTCTTGTGAAAGACAATAAACATTCAGTGTATCAAAATGCCGCTTTCCCTGTGATTTGTGTAAAACTAGCAGGCAGGTAAGAGAGCGGGGAGGGTTCTTTGCTCACCTTGGGAGGTGATAGAGGCATTCAGAACCTCGGAAAAGAAAAGCAATAATCACGTTGTAAGTAATATATCCTTACTTTCCCCCACTAAACTTCTGCTGTATTCTTGTTTTTATCCCTTTTAACCTTTATTGGTAGCTAGTCAAAACATAAGTCCTGATATACTACTAATTACAGAACAATTTATATACTCTGATTGGGAGGTTTGCTTCATATCAAGCCTCAGATAACCACTGGGTGCATCATGGACAGGCTACCTTAAGTAAAAATTAGTACAAATTTTAATGTCAAAAGATTGACTGACAGATAATTTTACTTGTGGCTAATAATATTAAGATACCAGACTAGCAGATACCTCAAAGAATACATTTAGTTGGCTGTAAGTTTCAGGCTTAGCTGAATGCACTGTGTTTTGAGGTTAAATTTGCTATAAGGAGACAAAGTTACTAACTAACTAAACTTACACTTGAAAACTTTGAATCTGTTTTCACAAATTCTGAACACAACCAAAAAGGTTTGCACAGAAATGTATCATATATATATATGTATATATATAAAATACTCTATACTACTCAGTTAATGTAAAATTTACATGAACCCACCCACTAGTGCATATTCCCCGCCTACCTAATGCATATTGTGTGATGTAACTTTACACAATTCTTGAAACACTTTAGTTCTTTATTAAGCAACTTCTGTTGTAGAAGTTATCAGACGACCTCTGTTATGTTTACAAAAGTTGAGAAGATCAGTCAGGAGACATAATTCAGCTTGCAAACACTAGTTATGGGTTTGATTATAGCAATACTGGAATAGTTTGTCTCTAGAACCAGAGAAACGTCTCGTGTTAGGTGTTCCTGCCTAGTTTCTACGCACATCAGTAGAAGTGAGGTGTAAATGCTCATACTGAAAGTAAAGCTTCTCTTTTATCATAGCAGTATGATACTTCTTAAAGTATGGCTGTAATAGCATTTCTGAGGTTTAAAATACGGGATTATTTCTAGACCGGCAGCGATGGCATTTAGCGGGTGTTTCCCCGCTCCCGGTGAGGCACTTGCTCTCCTCCGTTCAGCCGGGGGCGGGCGGGGAGGCGTCTCCCGGGGCCGGCCTCGCTCACCGCGCGGGGCG